GGGTCCCGCAGCGCCATCTCCCGGCAGCCGCACGTCGGTGTTCGGGGGGGTCTCGGCCCCGCTGCCCCGGGCACCAGTCCCTCTCGTTGTCCCCCTCGTCCTACTGCCGGGCCAGCAAGTTCTGCCTTTGTTTGCCGCACTGTGCTGGCCCAACACAGGGTGCCCAGGGCAACGTGGAGGCTGCTGCCCTGGCCCAGGTTGCCACTGCACCAGCAGCCACTTGCCATCCATCATCCCCCCAGGGCCAGCTCCAGCACAGGGCCCTTGTGCAGGTGGCCCAACTGGGTGCTACCGCAGCCTCCCTGGGCACGGGGCTGAGCTGTGCTGTGCCATGGTGGTCCCACATCAGCAAGCCCGCACTCTCTTAGGGCCCTGCATCCCCCGCAGTCAGGCAGACTGGGCTCTGCCGTGGGGTCTTCACCCGAGCAGCCATGCTCTGCTCTGCCCACGGCAGCCCCAGCACGGTCACCGCACCAGGCTCTGCCAGGAGGTCAGCACCTCAGCAGCCATGCTGCGCTGTGCCGCAGCACCCGGGGCAAACGGCGAGACCAGGCTCTGCTCTTGCATCCCCGTGCCCGCCGTGGCAGCTAGACAGACCAGGTGCTGCTGCGGGTGGTCATGCTGTGGTCCACTGCAGTGTCACATCATATGCAGCCAGGCCAGATGTTAGATATCCTCTCCAGATGGAGAGTGGACAGAGGAGACGGTGCTGGCCCCAGTCTGTGCTCCTGTTGGAGGCAGCGCCCTGTGCTCTCACAGCTTCTCCTGCTCCGAGATGCGGCTCTCCTTGCCATCTTCCTGGGCCACAGGCTGGCCCCTGAGCAGGGTCTCCTGCATAGGGTGAGTATCCTCTCCATCTTCCATGGGCTGCTGGGCCTCTAGGTTCTCTGTGGGCTTCCCAGCCTCTACCTGCACAGGGGCAGGGGTCAGGGCCGGGCAGCTATATCCCCCACCTCTGCAGCCACATCTTTCTACAGGCTCCTGCTATGCTCCCATGCACGGCAGACCTCACCCCGTGCAGGTCCTCTCCTGTCTCAGCATTTGTCAGCAGCACCCCAGGGCTGCCCCAGCCCTTATGTCCCAGCCAGGTAGCCCTAGGACAGCCCCCACCCCTCCTGCCCTGCAGAGCCACAGCCCCTGCTCTGCTGCTGGCATAACCCGGGCTGTGCCCAGGAGGAACCCCCAACCCACTGCTGGAGGAGGACTCTGGGCACTCACCTGCTTCTGTGCCCGTCGCCTGGGATCTAGATGGAAAGAGAGACAGAGAAGGCAACAGTCAGGGGAGTGCTCCTGCCCTGCAGTGAGCGCTCAGGAGTCAGAGCTGGGGCTGCTACACCGCAAGTCCTGCAGCTCATGTTGTGCCTGCTGCTGCCAGGCTGGAGGGGCTGGGGGACATGGC